ATTGCCCATTTTACAGATGAAAAAAACCATAGGTCTAAAATTATGGATTAGTTGAAATATATCTTCAAGCCCAATATTTTTACTTTACATCATCTGCTCTTTAAAAATTCATTACTCACTTAAAAGTAGTAGTTTTGCAAAACCATTGTCTTGTGAAAGATTCAAACAATGTAAATAATGCAAAAAGGCCTCTTGACCTCCCACCCAGTCCCTGTTCTCACTGTAGGATAATGGCTATTACACCACCATCCATGTTCACATACATATGTGTGTATCTATATAAATAGATCCTTTTGTTTCACATTGTAATAATATTTCCATTTGTGATATTATTCTGAAACTGCTTTACATTTTTTAATCCTCACCTGAGTATATGTTTATTTAGAGAGAGAGGAAGGGAGGGAGATAGAGAGAGAGAAACACTTACTGGGAAGACAGATCAGCTGCCTTCTGCCTCCTACACATGCACCAGCCTGGGATTGAACCTGCAGCATAGCTGTGTCCTGCCTGGGAGTCAGACCTACAGCTTTTTGGTGTACGGAAAAATGCTTCAACCAACTGGACCACCTTGCCTTTTTTTTTTTTTTTAAAAATTAAGTTTTGTCTTACAGCTAGGTCTATGACAGCACCTACAGATCTGCCTTGTCCATTTAATCTGTTATAGGTTATTTGAGAGTATGGCTGTACCAGAGCCAAAGGTTTACCCAACCTTTTTTACTGATGGGAATTTGTTTTCAGTTTTTTGCTGTTGCGGCTTTATGTGCTTCTTTGTGCCTGTGTTGAGACATTTCTCTGGGAGATATAAGAGAGTGGCATTGCTAGGTGTTGGGGAAGTCATGCTGAAAAACCAGTGAATACCGTTAAACAGGGCTGCATTCAGGCTGGTCCCGTCTACATCTGCACCACCTTGCACACACTGGGTGTTACCACTGTTTCTACTTTTTATCAGTTTGGTTTGTGAAATGACATCTCATCTTAGAGTTCTCCCTCCTGATTACTATGAGACTAAACACATTTCATATCGTGAATTCTTCATTAATGTCCTCAGCCCACCTTGCCATTGTCTTATCTGTCTTATTAATTTGGGGTAGGTTTTTATATGCAGTCTATTAACTTCTATTATGCAAGCTACAAATATCTCCACATTGTTGCTTTTTTTGAAACTGTTTACAGTGTATTTTTTCATGTAAGATTAAAAATTTTTGAGATAGTAAAATGAATTAATCATTTTCTTCATGGTTTTTGCAGTGTTTAAGAAAGCCTTCTATAACTCAAGTTATTTACCTACTATGATATCTATTTCTAATAGTTCATATTTATTCATTTAGCACTTTAGTTTATCAGGAATTTATTTTTTGTTAAGGGTGTATTGTAGTATGCTATTGTTTTTTTTTTTCATTTCCCAACTCTGAGACCTTATTGAAGCTCCAAAGCTCTTTCCTTAAATCTGCCTCAGTTCATGAAATAATGCTTTCCCCCTTTTCTAAGACCATGATCCATGTGGGAGAAGGAAGGTAAATGTATGTAGAACACTATCCTGCAGGGCAGGAAGAACCTCATTTCACAAGGCTGGTGCAGATAAAGGGCCAGAGAGAGGTACAGAGTATTTTCAGCTGTGCAGTTTAGGAAGATTTCTTGAGGGAGATGGCACATAAATCACAAGGGGAATGAGAGGTTGTTTAGCTTGACTGGTGTGTATATTGGGTTGGCTAAAAAATTCTTTTGTTTTTTCTGTAACTGACTCTAATATCGCTTAGTTGTCTTTAATTTCATTCAAACTTTTCGTTAGATTGTATTGTGACAGCTGTTATATCAGTATGCATTTAAAAATCTCATCAAAACTGGTGAATTTTTGTGTAGACATTTTAATATTGAAGATGGGAGAAAATATACTACATTTTTGGCATATTATGCTTTATTATTTCAAGAAAGGTAAAAATGCAACTGAAATGCAAACAAAAAAACATTTGTGCAGTGTATGGAGTGCTGTGATGGGTCCAACGTGTCCAAAGTGGTTTGCAAAGTTCCATGTTGGAGATTTCTGTCTGGAAGATGCCCTGTGGTTGGGTAGAGCAGTTGCAGTTGACAGAGAGACATTGAGACTTTGATTGGGAACAACCAATGTTCTACTATGCAGGAGATAGCCAACATACTCAGCATTTCCAAATCAATAAAGTTATTGGTGAAAATAAAAATGTGTCTTTTATCTTAAGAAAAAACACACAAACTTTTTTGGTCAACCCAATATTATAGGAAAGAGTGTGGAGCTAGATGAGGTGGGACAGACTGTGTTCGAGTAAGGGTCGGCAAGCTACCGTCTGCAAGTCAAATCTGATCTGACTGCCATTTGTTTCTGTACAATGTGTGAGCTAAGAATGGTTCTCACGTGTTTAAATGATTTAAAAAAACAAGACTATTATTTTATATAACACAAAATAACATATAAAATGATATGAAATTCAAATTTCAGTGTCCATGAGTAAAGTTCTACTGAAACATAGCTAAGCCCATTTGTGTATTGTCTGTGGCTGCTTCTGTGCTACAACAGTGTCACTGAGGAGTTGTGACAGAGACTGTATAGGCCACACTGAAAGTATTTAATCTCTAGCTTTTTACAGAAAAAATTGACTGACCCCTGATATAGAGATTTGAGTGCAGGTTTAGGACTATGACCCGTGTGCTGGGCAATGTACAAGGAAGCATTGTGATCAGCACTGTTTATGAAGGAGAGCACTGTTAGCTGGGTGGAGGTTTGGAGATAAGAGAGAGAGACAGGCAGGGAGATGCTTTGAGTTGACTGTGAAATAACCTAAGTAACAAGTAATTAGGTTTCAACTCTAGAAGTTGGAAGAGGAGGGGAAAATGTGGCAGATTTACTTATTGAGTCATTTATTTATTAAGGTACTGTGATTTATAATAATAAATATATATTTGATCTTCATTCCTAGTCCTTGAAACAGGGCTCCTAAAATGCTTGCAAATTCCTGAGCGATACAGTCACTGGGAGCGTCTTTTGTTCTGATAGGGTGCCCGTGGGTGGGCTCCTGGGTGGGCTCCTGGGTGGAGGCTGGTCACCAGAAAGGCAAAGCAACAAGAAAGACCAAGGTTGTAATTTTCAGCTCTACCTCCCACCTCTTCAGAGAGGGAAAAGGGGCTAGAAATGCAGTTAATAAATGATCATGCCTACATGAGGCAGCCTCCACAAAATCCTAATAATGTGGGGTTCAGAGAGCTTCCAGGTTGGAGGATACATTTATGCATCGGGAGGGTAGCATACCCCAACTCCACAATATGTCCTTGGGACCCTCCCAGGCTTTACCCTATGTGTTTCTTCATTTGTATTTTTATCATATCTTTTGATAAAATGATAAATGTGAGTGTTTCCCTGAGTTCTGTAAGCTCTTCTAGCAAATAATCAGATCCAAGGTGGAGGAGGTCATGGGAACCTCTGATCTGCAGCCACACCAGGTAAAGTGTGGGTAACCTGGGGCCTACTAGTCATGATTGGCTTCTGAAGTGTGTGGGAGGGCCCTGGCAGGGCGGCTCAGTTGGCTGGAGTGTCGTCCATGCACTAAAGGGTTATAGGTTTGATCCCCGGCTGGGGCACAGACAGGAGGCAAACAATCAATGTTTCTCTGTCACACAGATTTCTCTCTCTCTCCCTCCCTCTGAAATCAATAAATATATTCTGGGGTGATGATTAAAAAAATAACGAAGAGTGTAGGAGGGTGGTGGCCTCATGAGACTGAGCCCTTACCTTGTGGGACCTGACCCTATTTCTGGGTAGACAGTCAGAACTGACTTAAATTGTAGCACACCCAGCTGGTGTCCTAAAATTGCTTAGTGTGGTGAAAAGCCCCACGTATCTGGTGATCAGAAATGTCAAAATCACTTAAAGTGCTCTGTGTGAAAGTAGAGGAGAAAAGCTGGGTTTTCCCAAAAGAGCGTCTTTGTTGAGAAGAACTTTCTGTGAGCTGGGGGCACAGTTCTGGGGGCTGAGAGATGTGATAAAAGTGGAAATGTCAGAAGTGGGCAGCTCCTTGGAGATGGGGAGTGAGCACCATTAGTTTGCTGGGGCTGCCATAATGAAATACTATAGACTGGGTGTATTATCTTACAGCCTGGAGGCCAGAAATCTGCGAGTAAGGTGCTGGCAGAGCCACGTTCCCTCTGAAGGCAACGATCCATTCTAGGCCCCTCTCCCAGCTTCTAGTAGTTCCTTGGCTCATGGAAGCACAACTCCAATCTTCACAAGGTGTGTTCCCCATGGAGGTGTCTCTGTGTCCATATTTCCCCTTTTAATAAGAAGGCCCGCCATATTGGACCAGGGGCCCACCCTACTCTAGCATGACCTCATTTCAACTTAACTAGCTGTATCTGCAATGACCCTATTTTGAAATAAGGTCATTCTGAGGTAATGAGGATGTGGATGTCATCATGTAAATTTTGGGGAGATGCAACTTAACTGGTAACAACTACCAGTGCCTGGTACAAGGTACTTTTCAAAGAAATCATTTTTCTCCCACATTCTGCCTCCGTTCATAGCATGAAGAGAATTTCCTTTTGAGCTTCCTTTATTTCCTTGGGGCATGTCTTGCTAAGCTCCTTACTCAGCCCTTCCCTAGGAGGGAGAATTCTTCATCTGGTGGGTCAGTGCCTGGTCTTTTTGTTCATGTCCACTGATGGGTGAGGCTGCTATGGCCACACTCATGGGCACAGCCCTCCTTTGTCTGCCCAGCATGCCTACTCTCTGTCCCCTTGTAGAGCCACCTTTTGAGCCAGCACACCACATATCCTCTTGCTCCAACTCCTAGGAAAGGCCACTGGTGGGCTGTTCTACAGATCCAGCTCATACTTCATGTTTCTTATAAGGTCGCCTGAGTGGATAGCCTGGGGTCCACTTCAGACTAGAATATCAAAGTTTATGAAAAAGGGTATCAATGCTTACTGATATCAATAACACCATCAATGAGAGGCCATCAAGAAGAAAAGACATTTTTAAAAACAAAGTTTATTGCATTAATTTTACACAGTAAAATAATATGAAATGCAGACTTTTCTAAATTCTCTTGCTGAATCTCTTGAAGACAATGTCACCCAATGTCATGGTCTGAAAGTCAGAAAAGAAATCATGTAATGTCCAGCTGATGTTGAATTGTAAAAATAACTAAGTCATGACAGTAGCTCTAAATAACAACCCAAAGATTCCTCTGCTTTTTATAGGATGAGAGAAAGGGTTGGCAATCTTTTCTAAAATCCCATGCCAAGTTTTTGTCACTTTACTCCCTCACATGAAGTGTGGTCCTGATTCTCACTGAATTCTTTTCTATGTTAATGGCTGTTAGAACAAGACCATCAAAAGCAGTCTTGTCCAATCCAATTTCTCAAAGTTTTACTGAGTGCCTGCTATGTACCAAATGCTGTTGAACAGCAAGGAAACACGTATATGGAAACACTGAGGCACCTGGAACACAGTAGGCAAAGCACAATTTTCCTCCCCAAGCTGTGAAGTATATAAAAATTGAGTTTCTTGGGCTCATCAGTTGTTGAGTTTTCGAGGTATGTTTCTCCTCCTCCCATCCCCCCTCCCACTGATTCTCTTGAACAAGACTGACGATGATGTGGGATAATGTCATCAGAGTTAAAAAGGAGTCTCTTAGCTTCAGCAGCAATGGGATGGAATAGAAAGAGCTGGTCACCCTGTCTATTAAATCTCTTATCCTGCTTCTCTCATGGGAGATGTGAGGATTAGAGGAGATAGAGAATATTAAAGAACATTGGTCAGGGCTAAGTCCAGGACAGATCATCTCCCGCTCTGCTGTGAATGTGCTGGGGTGGGGGCTTTCATAGTTGACTCTCATACTCTCCCGACTTGAGGGATTTTTCCACTTGAACTGAGTGATGACAGACTCATTGGGCCGTGTTCTGCCTTCTGTTGCTGCCTGAAACACAGCCTGAGAGCAGGGAAGAGCCAGGGGGTCATAAGTGCTGGAGAAACACTGTACTGAATCAGAGACAGACATGGCCAGCAGCCAGGCGCCAAGGATGATGTGGCACACATGATAGAGTGTGCCAGCATCATAAACTGCCATAAAGTCACCCTGAGTATGATCCTCCTTATAAATGCCAAAAAGGCAAAGTCTTTTTTTGAGTGCCTTGGGCTTATAGGGCACATAGAGGTCTCCGTGGCTTCCTGGTTAGTACTGAGGCAGAGGAGAAAGGTTGTGGCTAATAATTATTGCAATATTATAAAATAGAAAAAACAATAAAAGGGCCCAACTTTTGGCCAAACAAAGCCTTTCTCACATGTGGGTTCTGTGTCAATGGGAAGGGTTGTCCCGTGAATCAGATACCCATGGAGGGGATTTCTGCCTTCTGGCCCTTGAGTGTGTAATGGGGCCATAGCATAGTTGAGACTGAGGAAGGTGGGCTGTGCATAACTCTATGTCTCCTCCTGCCAAGCACCTCTCCTGCACCATCTTATTTAGGTTTGGTGAAGGAAGAGTATGGCAATGAGAGAGAAGGATGTGAGAAGGCTGGAGTGGAGAATCCTGACCTGGAAAGTGGTGGTGGAGGGACAGCCTGAGGGAGTCAGGAGAAATGGGGAAGCACCAGCTCAGGCCATTGCCAGGACATGTGGTCTTCGGTGAATTAAAAAAGGGTGCCCCTTCCTCAAGACGATGTTCTTTTATCTGTTGGAAATCAACCCTAATGCACTGTACTGGTTCTGTTAGACTAATACTACTTACTAGGAGACAATGCAAAATTATAGTAAATATGCAACTCTAAACTGCTTATAATGGGAGTGGCTCTCCCTAAGGTTGTGCAGTGGTACAACTGTGAATGATAGCCCTGTGAGACTAACCCCATGCAGAGGGACCCTAGCTCTGCCATTCCCTGGCTACTTGTCTCAGTTTCCCCATTTAGAAAATTCAGGGAAGATTGGAGAGAATGTGTGTTAACTGTCTGGTACATAACAAGTCCTCAGTAAGTGGTAGCAGAGACTGACACCAGGAAAGGTGGCAGGGAAGGCTGCTCCTCACTCTTCACCTTTTTTCTTCCCTCTTGAACTAGAAGCAGCAAGTTCAAGGCACCAACTTACATGGATGATTGTGTCTCCATTGAGTTCGGTCACGGACTTGATGCCTTTGAAAGTTGTCACCAGTTTATTCTCACCTTCTTTCTGAACCACTGCCTGCAGGGGACAGAAGAGATGGCCTGAGAAGAAGGGTTTGGTCAGGGAGCAAAACACCTCCTTGCTAACAAGGTTAGCACCCCAGCATGGGTCTCTGCTCACAAAAACCACACCACTCATCTTTCTATAAGGCCAGCCTCCCAGCTCTCAGGCTCTAAACAGAAGTGAGGTGCATTTAAGAAGTAAAGAATATATCAGGGTTTCTTTTGTCAGACTTTTAATTTATGGTATGCAGTCTAAAAATCAGCATTAGACATCTACATGTCTCAAATGCAAACACTTAAGTGAAACTGAGTAAAATCTTGATTCTCCAAAATAACAGAGGGAGGTAATAGCAAAATTCAAAACCTGTCCAGTTGGGAGAACATATATTTTGCTTTGGCATGCATTATTCCTTCCTTTTTTACTGTGGTATCTTTCTCAAGCTTTATGCACCCAGGGAGAGGGAACAGAAATCCAGGAAGATGTAACAGGGAGCAGAAGACACTGGTTAAGGTTTAAAATTTGTCTCCAAAATTGATAATTGGAAAAGGCCTGTGGTAAAACCCATGACCACCTGCCTCTTCCCATGAGCATATCAAAAGAATTTTCTCCTAAATTTTATGACAGATTTCTTGACTTGTAATGTTGTATCTGGAGAGGCAGAAATAAAGCCTGATCAGAAGAGGTAAGACTAAGCAATGTGCTGAGCCCGCTGCACAGAGTTGTCTAAAGGGGAGGGGTGAGGATGGCTGCTCAGTGGTGCGGGCTGTGCTGGGGTTTGTGGAGTTTCTCAGGGAGGAAGAAAGGCTCCTGGTGATGGGTACCCCAGTACCTGGATCTTCCGGCCATCTCCCACTGACCACTCACATAGCCCACACCCGGAACTCATTACACACCCGAACCACAGCCCAGTGGAAGTGAGGTTGCCCTGCGTTCAGTCTGGGAAGGAAGACTATGCCTATTTTACAGATGAGGTAGCTGAGGCCAGGGGCTCAGTGATCCCTCTGAAGTTTTGGTCTGAGTGTCTGGCTGGGGCCCTGGTACTCTGGTTTTGGCAGCACCTCCTCCAGGCAGGCTCTCTCCATGACCACAAGCTCTAGGCTTAGCAAAGCCCAGTTTGCTTTACCCTGGACTCAAGAATGACCTCAGGGCTCTGTTATGGTTTTTTTATTGGCCCCCCCACTTGCTCACTGTTGGGTCTGAGAGAACCCAAGACTTAGATTCTTGCTTTGTGCTTTGTGTTGCATATCCTCCCTATTGGGAAAGCTTGGATTCTTGAGCCAGAGCACCCCTGGACAGTCCTTAGGGAATCTTTCCCTAATAGCTTCTTTGCTAAGAGCTGTCTCTGTCTCTCTGCTTTTCACCCCCGAAGTAAGTTCAGAGATAGAGTATCCACAGTGGGAATTGTGAGGTGGGACCCTTGAGAGAGGAAGCTTTGGGACCAGGCTCCAAGGAAAGTCCAGAAGCAGAGTGTATGTTGAGGGATACTCCTACCTTGACTTTCTCCCCAGTCATGAGCTCCATCTCACATTCCTCCCCCAAGGTGAACTCATTTTGGATCACTTTGGACCCAGTGGTGATGGTCAGCTTGAAGTGGTTCCCATTCTGCACGATTTCCGACACTCCCTTGATGTCCTTCCCCTTCTGGATGAGGTCGTCAGGCAGTCCTAGCAGAAACTATTTGAGATTAGAGAGGGGCAGAGGTGGGAGTTGCAAGGCAATGGTCACAAGAGAAATTGTAGAATGAGGGGGAGAGGGAGGTGCTTGTCTCCCTGGAGACCACAGGCATGTACTGGAGTCCTGTGGGCAACATGGGCTTTGACCTTTGAAAGGAAAGGCCAGGGGCCTAATTTGACCTTCCCTGGCCAGCTCACTATGTTGCTAACTGGTTTATGAAAAAGACACACCTCTGGCCTGAAGGACCTCTCCCCTAGTGAGCACCCTGCTTCTTGCACACTCTCCTTCCTTACTCCTCCTCACTTAACTCCCAGAGACTTTGATCTTTGAGTATAAGCATTTTGCCCTCCACACCCAGTGAGAATGTGGGGAGGGCTGGGGGGTTGTTAAAAATTATGCCAGAACAACACATACCCGCTGGGACTGCCCTCATATATACCTATCCACCTAGTCCTACCTTGACCTCTGCTCTCAAGTCTCTCAAGGAAAAATATCAGGAATCCCTTGCCATGAGACAGAGATTTACAAATTTCAGACCATGTCTATGGTGTTATATGAATTGAGGTTCATAAAACCATGTGTGTTGACAGTGTGAGGGGGTCTTGTTGCACAGGTGAGGGGAGTGAGACACAGAGAGGTGGCATGACTGGCTCTGCAGAAGATCCAAGCTCTCTGCTGGCCCTGAAGGGCCTCCCCTCTGTATTTGCTGTCTTTCCCACCCTTTTCCCTCTTGGCCCCCTTCCTTGTCACATTGCCCCTTTGCTCACAATGCTTCCTCTACCTGAAGCACAACCCCTTTCCCAGTCTCCTAGTGGATACCTGCTCATCTTCCAGGAGTTATCCAAAGCTCATTTTCGCCACCATCAAACCTTCCCCCACCCAAACCCTCCCAGGAGCACCACATCCTCCTGCACAATCCCCTGGAGGGCACAGGGAGTTAAAATGGGGTCTCTGGGAACAGCTGCCGGCTTCAAATCCTGCTGCAAACACTTTCTACCTGAGTGACCTAGGTTGGGATTACTCAACCTTTCAAGGCCTCAGTTGCTTTGACTGTAAAATGGAAAATGTAATAGTACCCAACTCAGTATTTTTTATTGAGGATTCAGTAGGATATTGTATATCAATGGCTTATCACAGTGCCTGGCACTGGGCAACAACACTCAGAAAACATTAGGAGATTCTTCATTGTATTTATTTCTTCTCTTTTCTCTCTAAATTGTGACTTTGGGAATGTGATTCCATTGTTATCTGTTTATCTTGTATCTTCCCAGAACAGTTCTGAGAACATGGTTGGCCTTGAATCAATTTGCTAGAAGAATGAATGAATGAGTAGAGTCGCACAATGAGTCACTAGCAGAGGTGGCCTCAATCCAAATCAGACTCTAGTTCAGTGCTCTTTCCACTTGCCCATGGAGTGGCCCTGCCTAGTGAGTACCAGCACAAGCTACAAGTGACTGCAACAGGAACAAGTATAGCATGGCCCCTGCTCTGCATAAAGCCTGAATCTCTCCTCTCATCCCAATATTGAACCTACATTTGTGACTGGACACCACCTACTGGGCTAGACCCTTATCACCATGACCACCATTCTTGGCACCCAACTCCTCACTCACCAATTGCCTTCATGAAGGGCTCAAAGTTTTCCTGTCTCTGCAGTTGGTACTTGCCGGAGAAACTCATGGTGGCAGTGAGATTCCTTCCACAGCTGATCAGCAGCTCTGTTAGTGAGGCTGTCCACTGTGGGTTGATTTATAGCAGGCTCTTCCCCCTTTGAATGTTGGCCATAGGTCTGCATCTATCGCCTCCGTTATGGCCAGGTTCAAATATTAACTTGAGAGCAATGGTCAATGATAAAAAAAATGGGCACAGCAGAGATTTGCCCTAATTCAGCAAACATTAACAGTGTCAATCAAGTGCTAAGCCCTGTGGTCCTGCAGCCTTTAAGGGGCTACTCTCCCATGAAACATGAGTACACACGGGTATGTATACATATCTATGTACCTATGTTTGAGTGTGTGTATATAGTGTGCGTATCTAGAGCTGGACAAACATAAAAATACCAAGAACCTCTTTAAACTCAAAACTTCACATTACTTACATAACCCTATGGGCTCTTCCCATCTTTTTCATTATACAGAACCTAATTTTTACAAAGTTATCATCAGCCCCTAAAGCTGTTTTGTATTCTGGGATTTCCTCCTTGATGAGTATGGCTGCCTCCACAGTCCAAATCAGTCTCCTTTTCGAAATGTTAAAGTGGAACATACTATAGGGAAGATGTAAACCGTTTAAACCAGCTGTGTGGAAATTGAGGTGCATTTTATTGGTAGTTACAAGGTAGTGGAAAGGAAGAATATAGTACCTGCCGGGCAACTGAATACATCAGGGACACCCATGCCTACATGGTTGCTTTTGCTCTGCTTTCCATGCCTGTCTTTCCCACCTGATTACCTCCTCTATGAAGTCTCTTGGCTCCTAGAGCATGTGGCAAATATCTATATTCTAATTTCTACTGGTTTGATTTCTGTATGTATTCTTTTTCACCGTACTTCTTCTTTGGTATTCCCAATACCTGACACTTGGTAGGTGTCCAAATAATGATGGGTGAGCACATAAAGCCATCAAAAGATAATGAGGCCCTGGCTCTTACTGTTAAGTGAAGATAAGAGCTATAAAGAGATATGGAGTAGTCAGTCTGGCAACCCCCTCAAATCATGGAATCAGTGGGGCTGGGCATCAAGGAGATCGAGGTGCGTGTGTTTGTATTCTAATGGGGCTGGGACTTGGCTGATAGTCCATGTGAGAGGATGGCAGTAGGGCTGGCTACATGTCATCCCAGGCTGAGAGCTAGCTACTCTCTTCCCATCTCTATCCATTCTTTCTCCTTCCTCTGCCTTCCTGCTCTGCTGTTCCAGCCTGTGCCTGAGTAGATGGCAGATTCCAGACAGAACTCTCTCCATTTCCTGGACAGTTCTCTCCCCTGATGGGAGATCCTGTCTGTTCCTACCTGCAGCACAATCACCATGATGACTATATGCTCACAGTCATATCTGCTAAACTGGCAGTCCCTGCTCTGCACCCTGAAACTCTCTGGCTGCTGGAGCATCTGCTCTGGAAGCCCAGCAGTCCTCAGATTCTGGTTCTGCATGAGGCAGGAAAACGTGAGTGGTTGAGGACTAATGCCAGTGGACACTGATGTCACAGGAAGACATGAAGGGCACAGGCCTAGCACAGGACTATGAGCGTGGTAGCTCATAGTAAAGGTGTGCTCCGCTATCTCCCCTCCCTCACACATACTCTTCCCTGTTGATCCAGCACCTCAGAGGACCTCTCATCCACTCATGTGCTCAGTGCCAGAACCCTTCTCCAGCATCCCTGACAAGTGGCACTAGCATGTACATTGCCATGAAGGGGTCACTGCCTTCTGAACAGTGTGGGCAGAGGGCACTTGTTGCATGTGGGGCCATGTGGATTCTGGCACCATTAAACCTTTCCTTCTAGTGCTCAGTGGTGCTCCCCTCCCTGCTCAGCTTTAGTCTGACAGTGTCCAGGACACAGAGTGTCTACTAGGCCCCAAGTTGGGACTGTACCTGGGGAACCCTGAGCAGGCTGTATGCTAAGAACTCATAGTTATCTACGGTCTCCACAAATGCCCTAGCACTCAGGAGGGAGAGAGAAAAGTGTCTCAAAGGGTGACAGACACACCCACAGTCTCCTCTTACTTTATTCTGAACCTTGATTATGTACCTTTTAATGTATCTCATTATACCGAGGGTGGCCATATTAGACCCTAATTTCTTCCAGGTGAGACAAAGATTTGTTATTTTCATATATGTAAGGAAGTAGCATTGGGAATTCTCTTGGAGAAGAAAGGGTGTGTGTGTGTGTGTGTGTGTGTGTGTGTGTGTGTGTGTAAGTGACTAGATAAGCTGCTTGGGATAGAGGGTGTGTGAGACCCAAGATATATGTTTATTGAGGGCAAAGTTAGTGAAGGAGAAGGGCTGCTGTGTAGGAGACTGGGAGAGGGGCCTGGTTGTGTCTTCTTTCTCCCTCTCAAATGTCAGGGGAGCAGAAAGAAGTGTGGAAGGCAGAAAGGAGGGGGCCAGTGAGAGGGTGGAGGGTGATGGGTTGCTAAGACACCACTGTGTTAGTGAGACTGGAAGGGTTTCTAGATAGGCTAGTGTTGAATTTGAAGCTACTCATTTGCTGCACAGTGAATCTCCATTCATCTTTCTTTAATCCCTCTCCCCCAAATACTTCAAATACTTCAGTCAAATGTAGACTCTGAGAAGAAAAATTTATTTGATATGAACCTGAGAAGAAACTTACCAGCTGAAATGGACTCCGCATGGTCAACTGAGGGCTTCTCACATATTCTATGCCCACCTTACACTGAACTTTCAGCATCCCCCACTATGCTCTGCTCCTTTACCCCATCAATCAGAACTGCTCCATAATGACTAATCAGGACACATAATGCTGAAAAATCAAGCGAGATTTAGACCAATCAGAAGTGTACAATTTGTGTACCTCATTTACCTAAAATGGACCTAATTGAGAACCTGGGTTAGAACTTTCACTGTAAAAGGCGGCCTCCTCTTTGTCTTGGTGGACAACTTAGGTTACTACTTGAATCTGTGTTTCCTGGGCTGCTGCTCTTTTTTGCTGAAATAAATGCTTTTTTTTCTTTAATACAGTCTAAAATCAATTTTGTTTTACATCTGGCATATAAATTTTGCATCCAGACCCTCTCCGCTGGACCACAGATGCCTGGGGACATGCTCCTCACAGTTCTGTTCTCTGGGCTCTGAGGTGGAGAGTGGGAGGGAGGCTCATGACACTCATCCCAGAGGCCTCTGGGAAGCCTGGATTGATCAGGCACTCCTTCCTGGGTGTCTGAGAAAAAGCAGGACCTGTGAACTGATTCCCTGTGGGCACTGCTGCCTGTACTTCCTGTCTAGGCAGTGCCTGGGAATGATTCAGTCAGGTGGTCAGGGGCTGGCACAGCTGCTGAACAACTGCCAACTCCCAGAGTAAATGGACAGCCTGACAGACGGAGAGGCAGGTAGACCAAGTTGGCTGCCACAAGGCGAGAATCCTCTTTCCTCCACAAGGCCAAGGAGGCTAGTGGCTATTTTTAAATTTATCACCTGTAAGTAGTTTCCCATAAAATTAGGAGAGGGTAATGACATTTCCCACCCACGAGCTAAGCAAACACTGGAAGAGATAAGCTTACCTCATTGGAATGACAAAGTTCAAGTGGCTTTCAAGAAAAAAAAGACTCCCACTTGATGGGAGCAGTTTCTGATTTTCATCAACCAGAAACTCCAGCACCCCCCCCAGACATCCCCTGTCCTCATGTTCCCTACTTAGATGAGCAGTGTGAAGGTGTGGGAGAGGAGGTGACATATCTTTCAGTGAGGCATGTCACCTCCTTAAGTGAGGCATCTTTGCACTTGCATCTGATCCCAGGGTGTCTATAGCGCCAGCTTGCCCACTTCCTGGTGTCCCAGGAGGTGCCCTGTGAGCCCACATGCTAGAGACAGGGCTACAGATGGAAAGTCCTTGGATTTGGGTCCAGGTCTCTTCTTTACCTGACGTGTGATCCTGGACAATGATTCAGCCTTACTGAGTCTCCACTTCCTTATCTATTAAATGGTTATAACAGTCTCTGCCTAGTGAAAGCACTGTGTAGACTGCCCAGTCCTTCAGGAATGTGAAGCTCATATTAGAGGGACTCAGAGCACTTCACATTTGCTTCTGCCATGTGTCCAGACGTATCAGGAGTCTCTAGCCCAGGACCAGTTTTTATGTTATATCCTGACTTGGTGATAAGCTTCTTCCCACCTCCCTGGGCCATCGGGTAGAATCTCCAGTCCCTGGTTTACTACCAGTGCAGCTGTCCTACCAGGCATCTCAGATCCCACTTTGTGTATTTTGCAGGCCTGTAGCCTTATCTCCTGTGGCTCTATCTTCTGAGGGATTTGAAAACCCATGTTCCTGGCCATCTGGCCTATTTCCAGGTCTGGCAATCATGCCCCAGACTCACCTCACTGTTTATTGCTCAGACCTTCAGCTCCCTCTGTGCTCCGAGCACCTGGGGATTTTAATTCTTTCTTGTGAACTCAGCTATATTTCTGAAAATTCTGATGGTTCACCCTGTATCTTCTAGCTAAGTGAAGAGCTTGTATCAGCTCATTGTCCATGTTGTAGGTCCTAGAAGTGTGTTTTTTATTATGTGCTATTTTAAATCCTTTTGGTAAGATTTCAGGATATACAGAGTTCCAAAAAAAAAAAAAACTTTTAAAAGACATTCTTGCCCTGGCTGGTGTAGCTCAGTGGATTGAGCTCGGGCCTGGGAACCAAGCAACCATGGTTCGATTTCCAGTCAGGGCACATGCCTGGGTTGCAGGCTAGTTCCCAGCAGGGGACACATGGAGGCAACCATACATTGATATTTCTCTCCCTCTCTCCTTCCCTTCCCCTCTAAAGATAAATAAAATATTTTTAAAAAAGACATTCTTAAGCCTTTTCTTTCATATGCCTATTCTGTCTCTTCTCATTATAAATTCCTTAAACATAAAGTGTGTCCCTGGAATAACTGTCCAGTAGCTAGAATGGGGTCTGACTCAAAGCCATTTAATGTCAGGATGTTTCAGAGATATACATGCTTGAAGAACCCACTGAGGGGCAAAAGCACAAATATGCCAAACAAAAATGTGGGATGGTCTGTACTGTAGAAGGAATCATACTACACCGAAAAATGTTACACAATAACTTTAAAAATATCCTTATTTTATAAAGCAAGGCCTT